GTAGTTTATTGGAGAAACTGTAAGAAGGCTGGAAACCCCTACTCTAGTAGCATAACCTAGCTATACAGGTCCTCAGATAAGTCTATCAAGATGCATGACTGGATTATTGCCCAAGTTCAGGTGTGTGATTCTGTTTCCAGACATGAGACTACTACCCAAACTTACTAAATGACTTGATCAAAAGATGCTCAACTCATATCCATGGATAACCTAGAGAATGCCAGCCAAAACTGCTTTTTTGATTTAGGATAAAGGGTTTGAACCTCTGTCAGTCTTGCCAGTTTTGTCACCACAGGATGACACGATGAGAAGTTAAAGAAAATTTCCCCATAATGAAAGGAAATCCGACTTTTGACAGATGTTACACAGCTAGATGTCTCTACCGTGAGTTGATTGCTCAACTCTTGCTCTGATAACAGTGATCGGTGGTAGGATTTTTCCATCCCTTTTGTGTCCAGGCCACAAATGACACTATGTTGAGAAGTATTGTTGCATCCAACCAATAGGAACACAGCAGAAATGAAAACTGGCCACAGCCTTTAGCCCCAGGCACTGTATGGACATTTGAAGTGTTTGTAAAGGCTCAAGGTTTTTAAAATTCTTGAATTCTATGCACAAAGTTAAAAACCTTCTGTGTACAGCAGCAGCCCCCCTAACACTTACCAGAGCCCCATCTCAATCCAGCGAAGTACACAAGAGCAGCAGCTCTCCGGGACTCTACCTCCTCATTGGCTGAGACAGTAGCAGGAGCCACTGGCTCCTGTTTCTGTCAATCACAGTCAATGAGGAGAGAGCATGGGGCGGGGCTGAGTGTGAATCAACACACAGTACATCGGCTTGGCAGCAAACCTGCTTGAATGCCCCTTAGCAAGCTGCTTGCTATGGGGGCACTCGGCAGGAGGCAGGGGCTAGGAGTGCTGGTGGGGGACCCGAGAAGGGCAGGATCAGGGCTGCTCTGTGCAAAACCACTGCACACAGCATGAAAGTATAACATGTTTGTGTTTTTTTTTTTTTTAAATCTGCCTTTAATATCACTTTAAGGCACATGTGTCAAACTGGCGGCCCTCCAGCTGTTGTCAAACTACAATTTCGATGAGGCATTGCAAGATTGACAGTTACAAGCATGACTCCCAAAGGTAGAGGCATGAACTTGTAGTTCCGCAATAGCTGGAGGGCTGCCAGTTTGACACCCCTGCTTTAAGGTGTCAGTTGGTCAGGTCAGTTAAGAGATGAATTGTGACTTGATGCTATGGATTAATGCAATACACAGACATCATTTTAAACTGCCTTACCTAATGAGCCTGCAAGTGTATCAGGATATCTGAAAATCTCATAACGTACTCCTCAATTTGTACAACAAAAAGAAATTATGTGATATCAACTCCTACTTGTATACCACAAATACCATTTTATTTCCCAAATCTACATTCTTTATTGGTTTTCCAATTCCCCGACTACAAGCATTTCTAACAAAGGTTCATCACTGTTCCAAGCCTTTAATCATGTCTGTCTTTTAGTCTCACAGCTTGCAAATTCAATGCAAGAAGCCAAAACATCAAGAATACGGATTGATCTTGACTACAATAACATCTCAGCATTTCAATCACAACAACTTCAATTCCAATACATTTTCTGCAATTAAAATTCTAAAAATACAGTCTATAAATTAGATATTGAGTATAATCCCCGAAAATGCCTTGCTTGTTTTCATCATATTGTTGTTTTTATCCTGTAATGCACAATCACATGCTCTTCCTTTACACAGATTTTTATTCTGTGAAAAGAATACCAGACATTTTAGGAATGTTGTAGTGCAAGCGACCTGCTGCTTGAAAGTTTCAGAGTTGGAAGTTCAGATCATACAGTGGTGTACGAGATTCATAACAATAAGAGTTTTATTGAATGCAGCAGCAATCAGATATGGGACGACAGTCATTGGAATTATTTTATTTTTATAAAGCAATCCCCAAAATATTCTTCCCAGTGTTCAGCTTTAAGGTACTTGTGTCCTGATTTCTTCCACTTGGGAGAATCATTAAATGCTTGATAAATTCCGCAGGGAACCCTGTGCACATAGCACTCATCCCCATTAAAATTGGTACTGTGGTGTGGAAATAAAATGTCATTTTTATTGCAGCTAGGGGTGACTGTAGCTCCACCCTAGGTAGAAGACCGAATTATGGGTGTTCCTATGGGAGAGGTACAGGCAGAACTTAAGCCACAGCCCCCTCACCATTCTGCAGCCCTATTTGCTGTGTTGCCCTGTGCCTCCTCTGCTCTATTGGTACAAATAAAAGGCTGAGCCCACAGCCACCAGCTAGTTCAGAGGGGATAACTACAGTAGTAGCTGGAGGCTTGTGTTGTGAGAATGAAAGCAGCTGAAGAGCAGTGCCAGTCATCCAAAAAACACAAGCTGACAACAGCACACATCAGCAGCCATTACTAATATAGTAGCTGCCGATGTGTGCTGTTGTCGGTTTTTGTATTTGTGAATGTTGGCACTGCTCCACAGCTGCTGTCATTCACGTAACACAAGCCATCAGCTACTACATTTACACAGCAATAGCTGGCAGCTGCAGGTGATTGGAGGCCTTAATAGCTTCTGATGGGGCTTCTTATTTTAGGATACAGTAACATTGACCAAAGGAAGCAAAAAGGCCAAACAAGCTTTGCATGACCATGTGTTACCTTAGTCATAAGCCCATACAGATATCCTGTGGAAGGATACAGGTGCAATAGGAAACCATACAATATCAACAACACCTCCCTTGAGAGATATCATGAGTAATATGTTATTAAAAACAGAAAACAATGCTTCCTTGACAATTTAATACTGATCTGGAAATAAATAGTAATGTAAACTTGAAATCCAACATTACCAGAATTGAACTGATGCCATAGGGCTACAGCACACTGGTTTTCAAAATTGTGTCTGAAAAAAAAAGGTCCCTGCAGAAATTCTCCAATACAAGGGGCATTCGAGTCAAACCGGAACTTTTAATTTTTCAGGTATAAGAAGGGATCCTACATGGCGATACTACATGCAGTAGTAAGTATGTCCTATTACTGATAGGTGGTGCACATGTTGCAGGCCAGTCCAGAGACTGTTAACGACTTCAAGTCCGGACATTTCACCCACCTTCCAGTTCAGGCCAATTTTCAGCTTTCAGTGCTATCACACTTTGAATGACAATTGCACGGTCATGCAACACTGTACCCATAATAATTTTTTAGCATTGTTTTGAGATAGATAAAACTTTATTTTGGTGGTATTTATTCACAACTGGGATTTTTATTTTTTTTGCTATATAAATGAAAAAGTAAAAAAAATTAGAAAAAAAGTGTTTTTCTTATCAAATTTTGCAAATAAATAATCTTTCTTCATAAATCTTTGCTAAAATGTATTCATCTATATTTTTAGTAAAAAAAAAATAACCCACATTATTTTATAACCAAAAAACTTTTTCAAATAATTTTTCAAAAATGTTTCTTACATTTCTATTTTATTTTTTTATATTATTATTTATGTTTGTTTTTTTTGTTTTTTTACATACTGTCACCCTGGCACAGGGGTGGGCAAACTTTTTGACTTGAGGGCCGCAATGGGTTCATATATTGGACCCGGGGGCCGGACCAAGAGTAGATGAATGATGTGTGTATGTGTCATCCATAGTAAGTATAGTAATATTCCCCCATAGTAAGCATAGTAATTAATCCCCCATATAGTAATTCATCCCCCATAGTAATTAATCCCCCATAGTAATTCATCCCCCATAGTAATTCATCCCCCATATAGTAATTCATCCCCCATAGTAATTCATCCCCCATATAGTAATTCATCCCCCATATAGTAATTCATTCCCTATAGTAATTCATCCCCCATATAGTAATTCATCCCCCATAGTAATTCATCCCCCATATAATAATTCATCCCCCATAGTAATTTATCCCCCATATAGTAATTCATCCCCCATATAGTAATTCATCCCCCATAGTAATAATCATCCCCCATAGTAATTCATCCCCCATATAATAATTCAACCCCCATAGTAATTTATCCCCCATATAGTAATTCATCCCCCATATAGTAATTCATCCCCCATATAGTAATTCATCCCCCATAGTAATTCATCCCCCATATAGTAATTCATCCCCCATATAGTAATTCATCCCCCATAGTAATTCATTCCCCATATAGTAATTCATCCCCCATAGTAATTCATCCCCCATAGTAATTCATCCCCCATATAGTAATTCATCCCCCATATAGTAATTCATCCCCCATAGTAATTCATCCCCCATAGTAATTCATCCCCCATATAGTAATTCATCCCCCATAGTAATTCATCCCCCATAGTAATTCATCCCCCATATAGTAATTCATCCCCCATAGTAATTCATCCCCCATATAGTAATTCATCCCCCCTATAGTAATTCATCCCCTATAGTAATTCATCCCCCATATAGTAATTCATTCCCCATATTAATTCATCCCCCATATTAAGTCCCCAAGTCCCCCCTGTGTCAATTCACTTACCTTTGCTCCGCGCGTTCCTCTCGCCGTGTCCCGCGCCGTTCCGGTGTAGCATGAAAATCTGTCTCCTATGAGGATCTGTCCCCCTCGACGTATCTGCGCATGTGCCAGTTTCAGGCATTAGCAGCCGATCGGCGGTCTCTGGCACATGCGCAGATACGTCGAGGGGGACAGATCCTCATAGGAGACAGATTTTCATGCTACACCGGTCTTCAGAGCGGACTGTGAGAGGAGCCTAGCGGGAGCCTAGATCCGCGGGCCGGATTAAAAGGTCCGCCGGGCCGTAGTTTGCCCATTGCTGCCCTAGCAGTACAGTGTCCCCATAGTGACACTGTATTATTGTGAGGGGTGATGAAGATTTTTTTTTCTTTTTTTACACTGATTGTTTTAACACTCATAAAGGCTGTAAAAGCAATCATTTCTCCTTCTCTCTGACTGCATTCCTGCAGTCATTGAGAAATACTGTGAGAGCTGTGATTGGTCACAGCTTGTCACATGGTACAAGGCTCTTGTGAATGGCCTTGTACCATGTGACCTCTGTGATCATTCACTAGTAGTAAGCAATGATGTCAGGAAGGGACATCTTGTTTACTACTATTCATGTGATCACTGATTGGCCAGTTGGGACCTCGGACAGAGGTCCTATACAGCTATCTGTGTTCCGCTGTGTCCGGAGGGCACAGCAGGCACCAATCGCGGTGCCACGCACTCCCAGGCAATGGATGTGGGGGAACGTTTAGAAATGTCCACCCACATTGGCAGTGCTCCCATTCGGCTGTTTATCTACATGGGACAGACGGGAAGTGGTTAATCAAGATGGCAGACATCAGTGTTAGTGTGTGCATGGAACAGATTGTAGGGATGAAGTTTCTTGTGAACGAAGGTGTAAAACCCGCAAATATCTACAAAGGACTTTGAGCACAGTACGGTGATGAGATGCTCAGTCACAGTAAGACATCTGAATGTTGTAAATGTTTCAAAGATGGCTGTATGTCCGTTAGTGACGATCCAGGATGTGGTTGTTCCCAGCTCACAGCAGTCATTCCGGTGAACATTCAGCACGTGGAATGCCTGATCCTGGATAATCGATATATAACCTGTGGCAAAATTGTACAAGAGACAAATCTTTCTGTGGGAAAGGTGAAGACAAAGTGAAGCAGGCTGTCCTAGGATGGTTCAGGCGTACTGACAATTCTTTCTATGTCAAAGCTTTCTAGGCATTAGTTAAATGCTGGGATAAGTGTATAAATGTAGCAGGGGGGTATGTTAAAAAATAAATGCAGTTTCCAATCCTTGAAATTTGTTCTTTTATTCTATAAACTCAAGAGTCCAAGTTTGACTTGAACAGCCCTTGTACAAACTACACATATTTTTACACTATTTTCTGTTTGTGCAGCTATTTTACTCATTGAATGATCCTGTGTGTTTTGCTTTATCATTCCATGATCTGTCTAATCTCTGCAGCTATTAGGTGTTGTAGTTATGTACAACATCAGATTGGACTGCTCTCGGTGAATTATGTTGGATGTTTTGCTGAATGAGTTTTACTTTTTGAAGTAGCTTTATCTTCTTAATATGGAATTCCCTGTGCAAAAAAACATTTTCTGAACAGTGTACAAAATGGTTATATTCCTTATGTTATTATTGCGGTGTTCGTCCCTTTGGCGATATTCATTCTCAGATTTTATCCCGGTGACCAGTATTACCAGGACAGAAAGATGAGAAAACTAAAATTGTACAGCTGTCAGAAAATGGGAAATATCCCAACAGGTACATCTTTTCAATTAACAGCTGCCATAGGTAGAACTTCCTCTGACTTTGGTAATTTCTATTCAATTCCTAAAGATAATATAGGGTTGAAAAATCAACCATTCCAGTGGAGTAACTAGTGGTCTCAATCAATTTGTATTATACAGCCAATGAACATACGGTATGAGTTACATCAGAAAAAACTAAGAAATGATAGGTGCATACTGTGTTTGTGTAGATAGAATATGAATATATTAATTTCACAAGGCTGCGATTCATGGTTTGCTAGACAGTCTCTGTCTAGAAATACAGAATGCTATCATTTTCCCAGGCCCTCCCACACTGACAGTTGTGATATGGGTTTCCCTAACACAAGTTTACATCTTTTGGTGGTAACAGTAACAGTCTCTAACTGCAACCAAGGGAAAACAAAGTGTTGCATGTTCACATAAGAACACTAGGGTTTGATAGCGTGAATGTTCCAATTAAAAGCTAGGTAATTAGGCAGTATGTTAGGTGTTCTGTAGCTTACCATATCATCAAGAGACCTTTTGGATTGAAGAAAAATGAGTTTTTACTTCAAGCTTGAAATTTTCCATTAACGTTTTAGTTTATACCAATCTAATTTAGAAAGAAGTTACATAGGGGTAGTAGAAATAGCAGCTGCTACTAGGTACCATGGCCTCTGGAGCACCCAGTTGCAAGCCTGAATTGAGAATACTTAGTTCCTCCTCATTACACAGTTGGAAACATCATCATGTTTATTAGTTAGAGGACACTTCGAAGTTTGTTAAACTATTTGAGGTGTTTGCATGCCAGGCATTCTTAAAAACAAGATGCCATGATGACTTGGTTACCATTTTATATCAGGGCAAAGTGAGCAAAGCTATATCCCATTTGCAATGTTATATTTATTATTTCACAACTTGCTATTGGCTGCACTTTTAGTTGGTGAAAAATGGACACTCACATCCAAATGATCGTCCTTGATTGATCATCCCCAAATCAGGGAAGGATGGGGGAAAAGGGGATATGCTAAGACAGTAGACTCATACTCTTTATGGAGGCACTCTTTACTTCTGGAGAAAAAGGGATAGAAAAGCTTATTCACAGTAAAAGCTGTGACAACGTGGAAAAGGCTCCTTCAAAAACTAGTTCTGGCAAGCTCAGCAGAATGTTTTAAAAAGAGTTGGCTGCATTCCTAAATTAACAAAATATAATTGGATATTAAGATTTATACATACTAATACCAGGGATTATTGATCCAAGGTATACTGTACCATGTCTATTGTCTCTTGTCTTCTGGGGAAGCAGGAAAGAATTTATTTTTCTCCAGCTAGGGCAAATTGGACAATGCTGTATAAAGTTTTTTTGCCTATCAACTATGGATATAGGATTCTGTATATGGAGGAATAATATTTATATAAACTTAAATTAATAAGCAAATATATATATATATATATATATATATATATATATATATATACACACACACACACACACACACACACACACACACACACTATATTTGGCAAAAGTACTGGGACACCCCTCCAAATAATTGGATTCAGGTGTTCCAATTACATCCAAGGCCACAGGTGTATAAAATCAAGCACCTCAGAAGCTCAGTGAATTCAAGTGTGGTACCGTGATAGGTCCATCCATTAAATCTTCTTGCTACTAAATATTCCATGGTCAACTGTTAGTGGTATTATCACAAAGTGGAAGCAACTGGGAACAACAGAAACTCAGCCACAAAGTGGTAGGCATGTAAAATGACAGAGCGGGGTCAGCACATGCTGAAGCGCACAGTCCACAGAAGACGCCAACTGTGTGCAGAATTAATAGCTAAAGACCTCCAAACTTTGTGTGGCCTTCAGATTAGCACAACAAAACTGCATAGAGAGCTTCATGGAATGGATTTCCATGGCTGAGTAGCTGCATCCAAGCCTTACTTTACCAAGTGCAATGCAAAGTGTTAGATGCGGTGATGTAAAGCACACCGCCACTGGACTCTAAAGCAGTGGAGACATGTTCTCTGAAGTGATGAATCAACACTTCTCTGTCTGGAAATCCGATGGACATGTCTGGGTTTGGCGGTTGCCAGAAGAACGGTCCTTGCCTGACTCCATAGTGCCAAGTGTAAAGTTTGGCGGAGGGAAGATTATGGTGTGAGGTAGTTTTTCAGGGGTTCGGCTTGGCTGCTTAGTTCCAATGAAGGGAACTCTTAAGGCGTCAGCATACCAAGACATTTTGGACAATTTCATGCTCCCAACTTTGTGGTAACAGTTTGGGGATGGCCCCTTCCTATTCCAACATGACTACACATCATTGCACAAAGCAAGGTTCATAAAGACATGAATGAGCAAGTTTGGGGTGGAGGAACTTGACTGGCCTTCACCCGATAGAACACCTTTGGGATGAATTAGAGCAAGAACACCTTTGGGATGAATTAGAGCGGAGACTGAGAGCCAGGCCTTCTCGTCCAATACCAGTGCCTGACCTCACAAATGCGCTTCTGGAGGAATGGTCAACCATTCCCATAGACACACTCCTAAACCTTGTGGACAGCCTTCCAGAAGAGTTGAAGCTGTTATAGCTGCAAAGGGCGGGCCAACTCAATATTGAACCCTACAGACTAAAACTGGGATGCCATTAAATTTAATGTGTGTGTAAAGGCAGGCGTCCCAATACTTTTGGCAATATAGTGTATACAATCAGTGGGTGCAATGCTTTGAAAGCTTCCATAGGAGAATAATAAATGCACATTTTTTTTGACAAAAATGTGTGCATTTATTATTTTTTCTTCCTTAAAAGTGAACATACCCTTTGACTACTGTAAAACCATTTAAATTTCACATTTGTAGCTATCAGGACTGTAAACTGAAAAAACTATTTAATCATGTACATGGATTTTCTAAAGTGTGCACCAGGACAGAAGAAATGACAGCATGGGCATGTGAGCAGAGGGGATCACAGCTAGCCATCTTAATGCAGGTGGACTTCTAGAAATGTGGAAATCCCCTTTGAGCATTTTGTGCAATCTATAGTTAATCTTCTTTGAAATTAGCACGTGAAGCTTCCCTTTTCTAAGAACATCACCCTTTGGGAATTGTTTATCCAGTTTTTGGAAAGACACTCATAATTTAATTAGTCACTATGGATGAATGGATTAAAGATTTATGAGTTTAACCATCCATATCTAATGTCCATGGGTTTCTCTATAAGCCACAGAAGTTCCTCCAGAGACATGTGAATGCCTTTTTCTGTGTTATATCTTCATAACCACCATACCTCCCTTCTTTCTCAAAATGTAAACTATTGATACATATTACTTTGTAATATTTTTCAAACTTTCCGAAAATGTACATTCCAAAAACACATAAAAAAAAATGGGAACAGAGAAGAACATGTGCTCTATTTTATGACAGTTGGAAGAAATTTGTAAATTTGCATCTTGGCTCTGTGCTGCACATCTCTCTTACACTAAGAACAGTTCATTGCCTCCAAGCAGCTATCATCGCCTCAGAACTCTGCCAATAAATATCACAAGATGATTTTTACATACTGAGCTAACTTCTGTACTACACTAACTGCTCTCAGAACTTCACATTCTACTTGGTAATGCTGCACTGAAACCCGCAATACTAAAATCCAAGCAGGAAATGCTGCGCTGTGGACAATAAACATTAATTAACCCATTTAACATGCTCTATAAACTGTCACTTTATCTTTTTATATGTGTTCACAAAAATACCATACTACATAATAACAGGTCTCTTAAAAAGGTTCAAAATACATCCATTATGTTGTCTTTAAAATAATGTTTTTTTCACTAGTATTATTTTCTAAGATAAACGGATCAAATATGTTTGCTAGAAAGTCAAGAAAAGGCATTGACCCACAGCAACACTATTTTTGACTGCCCTAAACTATAGAAAGCTAAATAAAAAGGTGTGCACAAGTGTACAGTATGGCACGATTTTATTACTCTTTGCCGCTTTAACCACCTCAGTACCGGGCACTTTCACCCCCTTATTGTCCAGGCCACTTTTCAGCTTTCAGCTCTCTCAAACTTTGAATGACAATTACTCAGTCATGCAATACTCATTTATCATTTTTTCACACAAATTGAACTTTCTTATGGTGGTATCTAATCACCACTGTTTTTTTTTCTGAGCTATATACAGAAAAAAAAAAGTAAATTTTGAAAAAAACCGTGTTCACAGAATCTCACTGATGCATGACCTCAGGGTCGCATGCAGACACCCGTTCTGAGGGATATACGGGTACCTCCATTCAGAACGGGGAAGCTTTTACCTGACAATGTACATAAACAGCTGAGTGGGAGCTTAATAAACAAGTAACTATAGAGAACAAAGAACAATGTGAATTCTGCCTGAATACATTTTCATTTAAGATGCCTCATAACTTTACAATAATAAAAGGAATGTATTAGTTGGCTGCGCTTGAGTAGCTTGCTCCATGGCATCTATGTTAAGTGTATTTAAACCACATGTGTCAAACAGCTGTGGCACCCCCTCATCTGTGCCCCCACCTTGTCTCAGCAGTAGGCAGCAGAGAGGAGGTCAGAACTCCTCTGCCAGATCCTGCGCTTCTCTGTGAAGTATGGAGAGGCTCATCTCTGCCCCCCAGTCTCAGTAGCTGACAGCAGAGAAGAGGACAGGACTCCTCCTAAAGATCCTGAACCTCTCTGTGTGCAGTCAAAGAACCCCCTCGTCTCCACCTCCCCTAGTCTCAGCATTCAGTTAGCTGACTCCAGCCTCCTCTGGTCCTCCTCCAGGCCATGCACTTTTTGCTTCATCGCTCAGTCCCCAGCTTCTTCCTGGCAGCAGGTATGGGGGGGGGAGGGGTGCACTGCGATGTAACAGGGGGTGGGGGACTCTTGACATCTGATGTGAGTGGGAAGTGACAAGGAAACTTAATTTCTGGCAAGATGAACATGTATTTTCTGTACTTGATGAAAATGTTCTATGGTTTCCTCTTTAAAATGGAACTCCGGGAAAACAGATAAATACACAGATCAAATACATATAAGGGGTCTTTTCTACATGTCCAAAAATGTGTATTTTTGTTCATCCAGGACTGATCACTTGCATGGGATCTCTGCATGAGACTGTATGCTAGGGGCCACAATTAGCTGCAGGAGCTGGCAGCCTTCCGTTGCTTTCAGTGGGGCTGTCTCCCGCAGCAAATCGTCGGACCCCTGCTGGAGGTCTCACATTTAATTGCAGGTGTGAATGCATCCTGAATGCAAGGATTTTTTTGGCAATGTTAGAATGAGATTGTCCCAAGTCTGTCATTAATATCCAAGCCCAGCCTCTACAGCTTTAATCCTTTGTTAGGACAGACAGTGTTCAAATCTAAAAAAACTCTACATGTCACGCTCCCAATATACTACGATTATCAATCAAATCAAAATAAACAAAAAAAAATCAAAAATACCTAAATAATAACACCTTGATTAAATTTTAACAATAATATAAAAAACGTGAATCCCCAGAAAGAAATGTGTTATAAAACAAAAACGTCCCTTTGATCATTCAAAAAAGAAAAGAAAATAATTTTATGTATATAAAAAAGTCCCAAAAAAAGTGGCAAAAAGTATATTGGGAGCGCAACATGTAGAGGTTTTTAATGTTTTATATACACAGTATAAGAATGTGATATTGTCAGGGATCCTTTTTCAACTCTTATTAGTGGCTTGCAGGTAATTAACATATTTTATAGTGTTCAAATCTAGTTACAATTGATAAAGAAGATCTGACTGCATAGTATATTACAGGATTAATTATGGCAAACACAGTTGCTCAACCACCTCATAAACAAAGAGAAGTAAGCAGGATTTTTCTTTGCTGGAGGGTCCAGAATAGAGCACCTAAAAAGGATAAACTGCAAATCTGATTTTTTTCAAGTTATACTATGTAAATGGGGACATGTAACAAATACAAAGTAAGCATTATCCCAATTTCTCCGTACAAATGTTTTAAGGTGTTGTCTGTTTTCCTAAAAGCGAAGTTCCTTCCAACATTTTTCATGTTTAAATAGTTCGATAAACTCTTTCAAGCTGCGGATTAGAAAGGTTTATACTAAAGCATTGCTGTAGAATTCATTTAAAATGGTACAGCCGCCTATGCGTTGAAACAATCAAGTTAATCAAGTCTCCTTTTGTAAAGGTTCACTACAAGGCACAGGTCAAGTCCACCATCATTTAAGTAGCCGATTTTTATCATCCTTTGCAAACGCCCTATTAGTTCAAGGTCATTAAAACCTCTGCGGTTTGCTTACTGGAATTACTAAGTAATTATTTTTCTTGGCATCAATGAGGTAGTGCAGAGAATCATTTTAATCAATTACAGCCCTCGTTTGTACTTTCAGAGGTCCAACTTTTATATGTTATAACCTGGCATATCTGTTTCTTTGTCAATACATTTGCATTTACATGAAAATCGCTGAAAAAAAAAAAAAGCAATTGAGAGTGATGCATGGTAATGAGAGACAGGTTTCAGAGGAATGGAAGCAGTGCTATTCTGTATAATAACAAATAATCTAATAGAAAAAGCAATAGCTCACTTTCCTCGCACAATAAGTTTTAATAATTTCTCCAATATATGAGTCCACAAAAATATGGATGGAGTCATAACGATGTTTGATGTTCAGAACAAAAATGCTTTAGCTTGCATTTGTATAATCTTGCTACAAATCCATTCTAGAGGCGTTTGGTTTGAATAAGTAGCTGCAGATCCAGAGGGCATACCAGGCCAAAGCATAAATAGTCAGTGGGGGAGACTTCCCAATAAATGTACAGACAGAGGCGGTGCAGGAGATGAGCAGTGGAATATTACTTTGGTCAGATTTAATAGATGATCATAGTACAATTCATAAATCCCCCTCCCCTGCTGATTTCAAACAGCTGCACCAATGTGAATCTGACCCCCCTTGGATATAAAAGTGTATTCTGCTGCTTTCAGCAGAAATGTAGCAAGTGTGATAGGCCAAGTACAGGAGTAACCTAAGGCTATATATTGGATAAAAAATTCTAGTGAATTTAAGGCTACTTTCAGACTGATCTGTGGCAAAAACCTGGCAAAAATGCACGTGTTTTTGATGCATTTTTGCTACAGATTAGTGTTTTTTACCATGTGTGCAGTACAATTTTTACCGAACATGTGTCAAAAACCCCACCAAAAATGCAAAGTGGGTGTGTGGGGGTTTTTTTTTTTTACGTTTTTTATGCAATTTGCAGTGTTTTCCATTTATTTAAATTTTTTTTTCCTGCACCAAAAATGCAGAAAGCAGGATTTTTAAAAATGTACCGGACCCATAAACAGATCAGTGTGAAGAGTTCAATAGGAATATATGGTCACACGTTTTTCTTCTGCTTTTTTTTTTACCCAAAGCAGAAGAAAAACAGATCAGAATAAAAGCAGCCTAACAAAATATGCATAGCTGCTTAACCTCTCCACACCGGCCGAACGCAAATGTGCGGCCTCCCGGCGTCTGGGCCTATTAAAAAAGAACATGTGCTGACAGCGCTAGCTCCCAGCACACATGTCCGGTAACTCACGGAAAGGTCCTGATCTCCTCTTTCGATTGGGACCTTTCCCAATCATGTGACCGCCGTGACATGACCTAAACCCCGCCCAGCCTCCCGGCTTCTGAAACCCTTAATCACCTCCCGTCCGGCTGTTGTATAGAAATGGCCGGACGGTGGCACTGCAGGGTCGGGTGGCCGTTTATAAACGGCCTCCCCACACCCTGCTTGTGTGCGCTCCCTGGGAGCGCGCAGCACCGCGATCCGGTGCCGCTGTGTCCTCTGGACACACTGAAACACCGATCGTCAAACGGGACCTCTGTACAAGGTCCCGTTCATGTGATCGCTGATTGGCCAATCAGTGATCACATGCAAAGTAGTAAGCAAGATGTCACTTGTGACATCATTGCTTACTATGTGTGAAATCTGTGAATGATCACAGAGGTCACATGGTACAAGGCTATTCACAACAACCTTGTACCATGTGACAAGCTGTGACCAATCACAGCTCACTCAGTAGTTCTCAATGGCTGCAAGAATGCAGACAGAGAGAAAGAGAAATGATTGCTTTTACATCCTATATGGGTGTAAAAGCAATCAGTGTAAAAAAAAAAAAAATCTTCATCACCCCCGACAAGGGGGTGACAGTATGTAATAAAATAAAAGTAAATAATAATATAAAAAAATAAAATAAAAATGTAAAAAAAAATGTTTAAAAATTATAATTTTTGCTTTATAAACTAATTTGGCGTATTTTTTTTTTTTTACTAAAAAGATAACGGAATAAATTTTGGCCAGGATTTATGATGACATATTATTTATTTGCAAAATTTTATAAGAAAAACACTTTTTTAAAAATTTTTTGGACTTTCATTTACATAGCAAAAAAAAATAAAAATCCCAGCGGTGAATAATTACCACCAAAATAAAGTTTTATCTGTCTCAAAAAAATGGTAAAAAATTCATATGGGTACAGTGTTGCATGACCGCGCAATTGTCATTCAAAGTGTGATAGCGCTGAAAGCTGAAAATTGCCCTGGTCAGGAAGGGGTAAAAGTGTCCGGACAGGAAGTGGTTAAAGGACCTGGAGGCGTTGGCGCAAAGGGGTTAACTTCATTTTTAGGATATAGTGCTGTTAGTGCAGTTAGTCCTGTACAGCAATATGCGGTCTCAGAAGTAAAATAATGCTTCACTAATACTAACATATACAGACTTACAAGCCTGAGGGCCAGTTCACACTACAAGAAAATGCACTCTGGATGCGCTTTTGCTTATAGTTTACACCACACTCTGCGTTTTTGATGCATTTTGTTGTGTTCCACTACAGCTCTTTTTCACCAGAATGCACTAGAACTGACTGCACTGGTGTGCGAACTAGGGCCACTGAAATACATGGAAACCACTGTGCATGTATTTTTGATACAGAAATAAAAACATGGGACTGCATCTGGTGTTAACCAGCCTTCAATCTCTAGGCAAAATCTTATTTCTAGGATGGAGTGGGGAATAGAAATGTGCAGCACATTTCATTCTGAATTCAAAATTCAGACACATTTTTAGTTATTTGGAAATTCGGATGTATACAATTTTCTGAATTACAATAGTAATAAATCCAAAATAACAAAAGGAAATTCGGACAAAATTCTAATTCAAATGCATTTTAACTCGAATTTGAATGGAATTTTGACTCAAATTTGAATATGAAAAGAAAAGAAACATAATAGAAAAGAATAGAAAATAAAAATATAGAATAGAAAAAAATAATAGAACAGAATAGAATGGAATGCAATACAATAGAAAAGAATAGAATAGAAAAGAAAACAATAGAATAGAAAAGAATAGGATAGAAAAAAAACAATAGAATAGAATAGAATAAAATAGAAAGAATATAACTGTCTTCCGAAATTTGAATTTTGAATAAAGTAAATTCAAATAGATTGGAGGAGAAGAGAAGAGAAAAAAACAGAATAGATTAAAATAGAAAGAATAAAACTGCCTTCTGAAATTCAAATTTCCAATAGAATAAATGTGAATTTGAATAGTATAAATTAGAATAGAATAGAAAAGAATAGAACAGAACAGAATAGAAAAACCAACAGAATAGAAAAAAATAGAAAGAATATAACTGTCTTCCAAAATTTGAATTTCAAATAAAATTCATTTAGATTCAAACAGAATAGAATTGAAAAGAATAGAATACAAAAAACAATAGAATAGAATAAAATAGAAGGAATGTAACTGTCTTCCAAAATTCAAACAGAATACATTTGAATTCCAATAGAATAGATTAGAATAGAAAAGTATAGAACAGAAAAAAAATAGTATTGAATTGAATAGAATAGCAAGAATATAACCGTGTTTAGAAATTCAAACTTTTGAATAGGATGAAATTGAATCGAACATATTAAGAGTAGAATAGAACAGAAAAGAATAGAAAATAAGAGAACAGAATAGAATAAAATAGAAAGAATATAACAGCAATCTGAAATTCAGATTTTGAATAGAATAAATTTGAATGCAGATGCCAATTTGATTTTCAATGCTTATTCCAATTTTCCAAATTCAGTCAAATTGAGTTAGAATCTAATTCCAAAACGAAACAAAATGAATTCCGAAACAAAATTTAACAAATTTATAGAAACATAATTATATAAAAAAACGAATCAAAATGAAACAAAAAACCCCCAGATTTTTCGTTCTGCACATTTTTAGTGAACAGATCAAGCCATGCTAATACATACAAGCAGCCAGGAATGATATATTTATTCCTTATATAAAGACTAAATTTATAAATTGTGATAAATATAAATAAAACAGCGCAAAAACAGACCTCTAAATAAATATTCAGGCTCACAAATATATGATGCTCATAAGTAAATCACAAATCATAAATGTCCTCTCAAAATTAGTGAATATCCCATATAATAATTAATTTATCCTTCTCCAGAACCAAATAATAAACACCAAAGGACCATGCGACATTTATGATTTGTGATTCACTTATGAGCATCATATATTTGTGAGCCTGAATATTTGTTTAGAGGTCTATTTTTGCGCTGTTTTTTATTTATGTTTATCACTGTTTGTGTTTTCACATTGCACAGAAGCAATTTAGATCATTATTAGTTTTGTATTAGCGCAGGAATATTTTCTTTTCTTTATTATAAATTGTGGCACTATAAATAAACCACTCAAATGCAAGTACCGTATTTGCCGGCATATAAGACGACTGGGCGTATAAGACGACCCCCTACTTTTCCTGTTAAAATATAGGGTTTGAGCTATACTCACCGTATAAGACTACCCCTCTTCCAACACACACCAAATAAAAATGAAAAAACATCAGATTTGATTTCAATATGGTATGCTATTTCAGTATGGTATTCCAATGATGGGGTGCTATTCCTCCCACTGACACCAATGATGGGGCACGATTCCTCACTCTGACACCAATGATGGGGCACTATTCCTCCCACTGATACCAATGATGGGACACTATTCCTACCACTGACACCAATGATGGGGCACTATTCCTCCCACTGACACCAATGATGAGGCACTATTCTCCCCACTGACACCAATGATGAGGCACTATTCTCCCCACTGACACCAATGATGGGGCACTATTCCTCCCACTGATACCAATGATGAGGCACTACTCCTCCCACTGACACTAATGGTGCCCCATCAGTAGTGTCAGTGTGTGAGGAATAGTGTCCCATCATTTGTGTCAGTGGGAGGAATAGTGCCCCATCATTGGTGTCAGTGGATGAAATAGTGCCCTATCATTAGTGTCAGTGGGAGGAATCATGCCCCATCATTAGTGTCAGTGGGAGGAATCATGCCCCATCGTTGGTGTCAGTGGGGAGGAGGAATAGTGCCCCATCGTTGGTGTCAGTGGGGAGGAGGAATAGTGCCCCATCGTTGGTGTCAGTGGGGAGGAGGAATAGTGCCCCATCGTTGGTGTCAGTGGGGAGGAGGAATAGTGCCCCATCGTTGGTGTCAGTGGGGAGGAGGAATAGTGCCCCATCGTTGGTGTCAGTGGGGAGGAGGAATAGTGCCCCATCGTTGGTGTCAGTGGGGAGGAGGAATAGTGCCCCATCGTTGGTGTCAGTGGGGAGGAGGAATAGTGCCCCATCGTTGGTGTCAGTGGGGAGGAGGAATAGTGCCCCATCGTTGGTGTCAGTGGGGAGGAGGAATAGTGCCCCATCGTTGGTGTCAGTGGGGAGGAGGAATAGTGCCCCATCGTTGGTGTCAGTGGGGAGGAGGAATAGTGCCCCATCGTTGGTGTCAGTGGGGAGGAGGAATAGTGCCCCATCGTTGGTGTCAGTGGGGAGGAGGAATAGTGCCCCATCGTTGGTGTCAGTGGGGAGGAGGAATAGTGCCCCATCGTTGGTGTCAGTGGGGAGGAGGAATAGTGCCCCATCGTTGGTGTCAGTGGGGAGGAGGAATAGTGCCCCATCGTTGGTGTCAGTGGGGAGGAGGAATAGTGCCCCATCGTTGGTGTCAGTGGGGAGAAAAGTGCCCCATCATTGGTGTCAGTTTGGGAGGAATAGTGCCCCATCGTTGGTGTCAGTGGGGGAGGAATAGTGCCCCATCGTTGGTGTCAGTGGGGGAGGAACAGTGCCCCATCGTTGGTGTCAGTGGGGGAGGAATAGTGCCCCATCGTTGGTGTCAGTGGGGGAGGAACAGTGCCCCATCGTTGGTGTCAGTGGGGGAGGAATAGTGCCCCATCGTTGGTGTCAGTGGGGGAGGAACAGTGCCCCATCGTTGGTGTCAGTGGGGGAGGAATAGTGCCCCATCGTTGGTGTCAGTGGGGGAGGAATAGTGCCCCATCGTTGGTGTCAGTGGGGGAGGAATAGTGCCCCATCGTTGGTGTCAGTGGGGGAGGAATAGTGCCCCATCGTTGGTGTCAGTGGGGGAGGAATAGTGCCCCATCGTTGGTGTCAGTGGGGGAGGAATAGTGCCCCATCGTTGGTGTCAGTGGGGGAGGAATAGTGCCCCATCGTTGGTGTCAGTGGGGGAGGAATAGTGCCCCATCGTTGGTGTCAGTGGGGGAGGAATAGTGCCCCATCGTTGGTGTCAGTGGGGGAGGAATAGTGCCCCATCGTTGGTGTCAGTGGGGGAGGAATAGTGCCCCATCGTTGGTGTCAGTGGGGGAGGAATAGTGCCCCATCGTTGGTGTCAGTGGGGGAGGAATAGTGCC